TAGGAATATATAGGAATAAATCTTTAAAAGTCTTCTCCTCAAGAACAACTAAGCCATGATTAGTCATATTGATATGGAATCATCCTCAGGTAGTGTAGATTCAAGTTTGTTCAAATCCTAACCCCCAGGGGTAGGGTTGGGCCACAATGTGGGATCAAATTTTTACATATGAATATATAGGAAAAAATCTTTTCAACAACAGAAAAGCCATGTTTAATCATATTGATATGGAAGCATCCTCAGGTAGTGTAGATTCAAGTTTGTTCAAATGGTTGGGGGGGGGGGGGATAGGGAGGGTCCACAATGTGGGATCAAATTTTTAACAGGGGAATATATAGGAAAAAAATGTTTAAAAATCTTCTGCTCAAGAACAGCAAAGCCATTTGTTATATTGATAAGGAAGCATCCTTAAGTAGTTCAAAATCCAAGCCCCCCCCTTAAACTTTTCAATGCTGAAGTGATTTGTGTTTTTTCCTAGCCAATGTGCTCAGGTGAGCGATGTGGCCCATGGGCCTCTAGTTTAGTTGTGATATTTGGTAGGTTGTTAGTTGTGATATCTGGTAGGTTGTTAGTTGTTATGTCTGGTAGGTTGTTAGCTGTGATGTCTGGTAGTTTGTTAGCTGTGATATCTGGTAGGTTGTTGGCTGTGATATCTGATTGGTTTTAGGTTTTTTAGTTTTGATATCTGGTAGGTTGTTAGCTTTGATATCTGGTAGGTTGTTAGCTTTGATATCTGGTAGTTTGTTATCTGTGATATCTGGTAGGTTGTTAGCTGTGATATCTGGCAGGTTGTTTAATAGCTGTAATGTCTGGTAGGTTATTGATCTCTTCATGTGATTAGGGCTGTCTAGAGAATTTCAATATTGGCATATCAATTGATTAAAATTTGACAAATTGAATGATTTAAATAACAAAAACTTAACTCAAATGTTTAATTACATGTAAAAAGAATGCGGGATTTAACAGACCTTTGATGATGAGAAGTAAAATTTGCAAAAGGTTGCTTATGAGAGAAAGCACAAATCCTTTGAGATGAAGTAATGTGCATACGTTACTCTGCCATAATTCTGTAACAACCTTGAGTGGTGTGAGTTACATGTACATATTGTAGGTACACTCGCGTGCATGCCCTAAATACTCTGTCATGGTACTGTATCTACCACAAGTGGTTTTACTTACTTGTTCTTTAGTGTACATAATTTAAATAGTCTTCTCTCTATCTCTTGTAGGGGTTGGAACAAGGAATTACTACAGAAAGATTGGATATGAACTGGATGGACCATACATGTCTAAATCACTAGTCTAAATAAATAAATGTACTGAAATTCATTTGCATTGTAATTATTTTTCTTTTTTTTTTGTTTGTTTGTTTGTATGTTGTTTAACGTCCCTCTCGAGGAATTTTTCACTCATATGGAGACGCCACCACTTGCCGGTGGAGAGCTGCAAATTTTGTCCTATGCTCGGCACTTAAGGCTATTGAGCAGTGAGGGATCTTTATCGTGCCAGCACCTACTGCGACAAGGGACCTCGGTTTATATGGTCTCATCCGAAGAACCGGTCTCCACGTCCCACAGTGGGATTCGAACCTGCGACGTAAGGATCAACTCCTTACTTTGCGACTCTAGAGCAGACGCTCTAACCACTGCGCCACGCGGGCGACAATTTTTTTTTTTCAGTTTGTAGAAAGAAATGGCTGTGAATATACTGAATATAAACAGAGTTATTTAGAAAAGTAAAGTTATTTCAATTCTCCATATCAAATACCCTCATGGACAATGAAATTAAGATTAATGTAAAATGACACAAATTATGCCTAATTTTGGAAAAGTATTATCTTTTTTGTTGGTGTTTTTTTTTTTTTTTTGGGGGGGGGGGGGGGGGTATGCAGTAGAAAAATTGGGAATATCCTGATCCTTCACCATGTGGGTCAGGGGATGGGACGAAATGAAAATTTATTGGTTCAAGCTTTTGGCCCGAGGATTGAGCTGAATTTGTTATATGTATATAACAGGTACTCATTGAAAACATTTAGCAAGCAAACTGTATGCATGTTAACAAGGAGATAGGGGCCCTTTACCAAACTGAAATTTATGTTCCAAGAGTTTTTGGTACCAGAGTGAAACTTAATACGTATATATTGATAATACTGTAAACCAATTATTATTCGCGACATCTTTCATTCGCGATTCTTCTATTTGAAATCCATTCGCAACTACTAATTTTGGTGACCCAGGCAACATTCTTCATAAATATCTAGGTGAATAATTGGTTCGCGACCCCTCAGGCCAGAGGGATGGTGCCAAAACCATTAAAATAATGTAATCTTCCAAAAATTTCTTCTTTACTCCTGGACATCAATCTTTCAAATTGTTGGGACAAGTATAATAGGCATTGATCCCTCTTCCAAAATTGTGAGCTTCATAGCTCCAGGGTTAGGGGTTCTAGTGTTAGGGTTGGGCTCTATTAATAAAATAGTAAAAATGCATTTATCCTCAAAGATCTTAACTCCTGGACATCAAGCAGTCAAACTATTGGCATGATTACAATATAAGCATTGAGTCCTCTTTCAAAATTGCGAAATTCATGGCCCCAGGGACAGGAGGTTCTTTATAGTGACAAGGCAGGGCTCTATTGATCAAATAGTGAAAATGCATTAATTCTGAGAAAATTTTTTGCTCCAGGGTACTAAGCTGACAAATTAAGTGAATGGTTATAATAAGCAAAGGTGTCTCTATCTTAAGGGAAATTGGAAATTGCAGATTTTAAAAGTATGTTTGACGATCAAAATAAATGTGCAAATATTTCCTTACTGCAAATAAACTAAGACGGTTTTAAGCCTAACCCGAGTTTATTACAAAAACATTGATGCATGTACAAATAAGGTGAATCTATTTTTATAATTATAAAGTAGCACATATTTACCAAGTAAAATATATTTAGTTGATAGTCGGTATGACTGAAGGATAGTGGAGTACTCAAATACTTGTTGTCATCCCTAATTAATTCTTTGAAAATCTTTACTCCTTGGTACAAAGCAGTCAAACTCAGCACATAGTTGTCATAAGCTAAGTTAAGTAAACTACCCAAGTTGTGAAATACAGTACCTGGGTCAGGCATCTTGTGTTTAGGGTGGGGCAGTGAAAATGCATTAATTCTTTGTAAATTTTCTTCTCTGCTCTGCGTACTAAGCAGACAAACTATGAGCAAGGGTGCTTCTTCCAAAATTTTAAAATTCATGGCTCCAGAGTCAGGGGCTCTGGTTTGAGGGCAGGGCGCTGTTTATCAAATAGTAAAAATGCATTAATCTTTGAAAAATCTTCCTCTTGGGCATCTAGCAGACAAACTAAGGGCAGTGAGTAAGGGCGTCTTCACTAAATTGCAACATTCATGGCCCTAGGGGTTCTACTGATCAGAAAGTGAAAATGCATTAATTCTTTGAAAATTTTCTTCTTTGGACCTGGGCATATAGCAGGTAAGGCATGATCAAGGGTCCCCCCCCCCCCCCCCCCCCACAAATTTGTGAAATTCATGACCACTGGATACAGGATGCTCTGGTACTTGGGCAGGACTTTATTTATCTTGTATAGAAATGTTTAGTCTACTTTGAGACATCATCTCAAGCCACGGTCCGGAGTCCGCATATAGCTCTCTCCTACCCATGGCTGCAGTGTCGTAATCTTGAATATTGATGCCTCTATGTTGTGATGTCATGTTCAGCCATTGACAGTATTTGTTTCCATTGCAATTGAAATCAACAACTAACATCAACAGTGTACAAGAAATGTTTTGTATAATGTGATTGGGTATTGAAAGGTCTCGTCAAAGTTCCATTATCTGACTATGCTTTACTCGCATTGAACTATTTTTTAATGAGCTGCGAAATATTCTCTTCTCATTCAACCAAGGCCAGAATGGGAGAGGATCATACATTTTGGCCGTGGTTTGCCATGATGACTTTGAGAGAGGTTACTATATTCCCCTTAGAATATTCACCTGATAATTAATCACTACATAAGGTAACTAATAGGTATACTGAATAAAAGAAATATACAATAATTTTAATACACTATATGATACAAAAATTACTTTCATAGTTTTGAATGGTCAGGTAGACTTGTAAGTAATGGATATATCAACATTAGACAAAAATACTTGATATTTAAATTTGTGCCGTAAATAAAAGTTAAAGAGCAGATGCTGTTAATAGAAGGAATTTATAGTGGACTATAGAGTAGTTCTTAAACATGATATATTTATAAGATTGGTGTTACTGGGAGTGTAGTCAGCACTGGTATATACAGGCGAGTAAATAAATCTACTTTCAGAGCTGCAGATCAGCAGACAAACCTCGATTGCCCTATTTCTCTTTGTGAGCAACTTGACTTCCTCTATCAATTTATTTTGGTTAATTATCATAGTACATGTACCATTTTATGAATCCTTTACAGAGTTGTATCATACTCAGGTGACCATTGGGCCCTTAGGCCTCTTGTTAAGGCTGGAGTTCATCCTATTCTCCAGTTCATTTGCATCAAATATTTCTATCCATTTACATGTTCTTGATAGTCATCCAACTTTTTACAACTGGTTGGCCATGGCAGTCTGACAGTATTAAGAATTTCAGGTCATATTTTAATATCGGATCATTATCTTGGGAACTCTTTGCTTCATACATGTAGTTGATAATACACCACTTCATCAGAAGGCTGACTAATCACAAGTAGATAACTTATCTCAGATAATACTTTTCTTTTGATTGATCAGAAGAATTGCGAGTGAAAATAGCATTATCCAATTCATTTCATCTTATTACTTACGCACATATACCATGGATTTGAAAATTCTCAACGATATTTTTTCTCCAAATATTTGTTGGTATATAGTCCACCATTAGAGATAAAATTTACATGTTCTGTATACGCTAAATTTCAGTATTAATGGAGTCATTCTTGTGTAGGATTTGACAATGTAAAATTCTCTTTATAAACACAAATACATCATCTGCAAAGGTCTTTATTAACATTAATACAATAAATAATTTTATGTGTGGGTGAGAGATGTCATTTTGCTGCAAAACATTTTCAAACTTCTGTTCCAAACTCAGAAGTTAGAATATTGAATATTGTGATTTGTAAAATGAAAAAATAAGATATGGCAGAAAATACTGAATACACTTCAAACAATGCATAAAAACATTCTCAGCAGAAATGAATACATGGATTAATTGGCTGGCATTATAAATGACTTATTAGAAATTGCATTTTTAATGACAAGATCTAGATGTATTTCGGTAATCCTAAATGGAACAATGAAACGTTTCAAATGATCTACCTGAGCCAGTAACTTCTCAACATACAAGAAACACAGACATTAAATATAAACATGATTAAAACAATCATTAATGATGATAACAATGTACTGGTACGCCACAAGTTTTTCAAAATGAGTGTACAAACTTTCCCTCAGTGACAGGAGGAGAATTGTCACCCTTCACATTTTATAACTGTGTGTATATGAATAACATAGAACCATTGTATATGGTCTTACTCATGTAATGTAGAGAGAATAGTATCAAAGAAAACAACATTGAGTACATGCTTTAGAAAAATTTTGAACAGCTTAAAACAATCTCAACCATCTAAACAGGAAATCAGATTTCATGTTTATTAAGAAATATTCATTGAAAGAATCCACAAATGCTACTAAAATGCATATTTTGAAAATGCAGCACTAAATAACATAAATGACTGTGAAAGGCTTCAAAATAAAATAATGAACACACATTTATCAAGCTTTCCCTAGTACATGTGCATGTATTTAACAACCTTTCACACATTAGTTAAAAACACCAGATTAGATCCGGAGTTATAAAATATGTAGATTAGATATGAAACTCTGTCTTTGCTCCAGAAGAACAGGAGATCCTATAAGAGTGTTCCTTTGTTCCTGCTAGGAGGCATCTTGTCCCTCTGTGTGCTCTGCCTCTGTTTGTTGTATATACACTTGCTGACCATTTGGTAATTGCTGTATCTGATAAACACCCTGTCAAAAAACAATAAAAATATTATGCTTTTTGATAACAAAGGTAGATCTTGAGATTTTTTAAGTACGTACAGTCACAACATTGTATTTCTTTCAAAATGTTAGAACCCCTTTGGGCCCCATTCCTGCCCCAGAGGCCACGCTTTAAAATCAAGAGGCCCATGGACCACAATGCTCATCTGAGTAAGTTCTAAAGAAGATTTTTTAAGATTTTTCTCCTTTATATTCCCATGAAAATTTGTGACCCCATATTTAAGTCCCACTCCAACTTTAAAGGGTCTTTGAATCCACTCAACATGGGGATGCTTCAATATCAATTTGACTAACATGACTTTGCAGTTATGAAGAAAAATCTTTTCCTATATACATGCAATATGTAAAATTTAATCCCAGTTCAACCTTTTCAACACTGTAGATGGATACATTGGTCAGAGAAAGAGATTTTTAAAGATCCACATTTGTAACTTTTTTCCTTAAATAAGATAACATTTTATAATGAAAACTAAGTGCCAGGAAATGCTCAGAATGCAGGATTTTGCATCATTTACCCCAGACTTGGGGCCTAACCCCCCCCCCCCCCATTATATTTGAAGTCATCTTTAAATCCACTTCATTCATTTGACTTCAGAATTATGTCTGGAATATTCCTTATCTGATGCTTTCATATAATATCATTTACCAGGTTTTTGCTGTTCTTCGGTAGATTAAGATTTTTCCTATATATTCCTAAGTAAAACTTTGATCTCCCATTGTGGCCCAACCCTACCACCAGGAGTCATGCTTTGAACAAACTTGAATTTACACTATGTACTGAAGCTACTACACAAGTTTAATCTTTTCTGGCCAATAAGTGGTTCTTGGGAAGATTTTTGAAAGATACCATTAAATTTTCACTAATTCTTACTTATCTCCCCTTGACAGAAGGCATGGCCTTTCATTTGAACAATCTTGAATCCCCTTCACCAAGGATTTATGGCAACTTTGGTTGAAATTGGTCTCCAGTTCTGGAGAAGGAGTTGAAAATGTGAAAAGATCACAGATGACAGACAATGGACAACAGATGACAGATGGACACCAGACACTCTTCGATCAGAAAAGCTCACTTGAGCCTTTGGCTACTGAATAGTAGCAATCTATGTGAGTGGATCAAAGGATCTGATTTCAATTAGATTGTTTTTGCATACATAGATCATGATCTATCATGGTCATGATCAGAAGAGATGCTTTTAATTAAGACATCCACTTCATTGATTAGAATGGGAAATGAAGGTAAAGCTTATCATATACACTTTAAATGAATTCAAAAATATTTAAAAAACAAAGTATTAAATCTGTTAGAAATTTAAACTAAAATTTGAAAAGCTGCATCAGAATAAATGACCCTATTTTCAATGTTGACATTTTTGTGGGAATTATGTCCTAGCAAAGTTTTGGAGAACATAAGTTTTATAAAATAAACATTTATATATAATATAATTCTGGTTATAACATGGTATTTGATTGGTTAAACTAGAAATATGTCCATAGGACATGAATGCCCCGCCAAGGGTATATTAGTAATGCAACATTTTAACACAAATTGAGAAAAGTGAGGTCAAGGTCAAAGGAAAGGTCAAGGTAAAAAAATATTGATGCAGTTGAATAGCTTACATCAGTATGTATCAGCATATGACGTTTGATTCAGAAACTAATTTAAGAAAAGTGAGGTCAAGATCAAAGGAAAGGTCAAGATCAAAAAATGTTGATGTAGTTGAAAAGGTTACATCAGTATGTATTAGCATATGAAGTTTGATGAAAATATTATGAATGGTTTCTTTAAAACTGAGCTAAACACTAATTTAAGAAAAGTGAGGTCAAGGTCAAAGGAAAGGTCAAGGTCAAAAAATATTGATGCAGTTGAATAGCTCTCATCAGTATTAATCAGCATATGAAGTTTGACACTAATTTAAGAAAAGTGAGGTCAAGGTCAAAGGAAAGGTCAAGGTCAAAAAATGTTGATGCAGTTGAAAAGGTTACATCAGTATGTATTAGCATATGAAGTTTGATGAAAATATTATGAATGGTTTCTTTAAAACTGAGCTAAACACTAATTTAAGAAAAGTGAGGTCAAGGTCAAAGGAAAGGTCAAGGTCAAAAAATATTGATGCAGTTGAATAGCTCTCATCAGTATGTATCAGCATATGAAGTTTGACACTAATTTAAGAAAAGTGAGGTCAAGGTCAAAGGAAAGGTCAAGGTCAAAAAATGTTGATGCAGTTGAATAGCTCTCATCAGTATGTATCAGCATATGAAGTTTGATAACACTATCTTGAATGGTATCTTTAAAACTGAGCTAAAAACTTATTTAAGAAAAGTGAGGTCAAGGTCAAAGGAAAGGTCAAGGTAAAAAATATTGATGCAGTTGCATAGCCCTCATCAATATCTATCAGCATATGAAGTTTGTTAAAAATATCTTGGATAGTTTCTTTGAAACTGAGCTTTGAACAGAGCTAAACGCAAAGTGTGATGGAAGGACAGACGGAAGGACGGAAGGACAGAAGGACGGAAGACGGACATGACAAACACTATATGCCCCGGCCATATTCATGGCGGGGCATAAAAAATTACTTAATATCATATAAATTGGGTTGCCCATGTCACAATGACTTGCATCAAAAACATATCAATCTGCCTAACATTACATTTAAATTTTGTACATTTTGAAATCATCTTTTAAGGGCAATCATCTTTTTTTTCTTACACTAAATAAATGAAAAATTATGAAGAATGACTATAATAGCTTCCCAATTTATACGGTATACACTGGGTTGGAACAGTTTACACTTTTTTTTTAAAACCACTTTGCAGTTTATAAAGCATAAACTGCCCCAACCCATTTTATATAACATCACTAGGTTCAATGTATGTAGTCTCTCCCACAGGGGACTTGCTGAGTTCTGTCATCACATCTTCATACTCAGTCAGGGGGCTCAGATAATGATAAACAATTTTTTTTCCAACAATTCTTTTTTATTTAACATAGTGAAGAACTAAAAATCATCTAAGACTCACTGTATTTAAAATATTTTAAGTATTTTTAAATGTCTGGTCAGGGCTACTGGATGTAGGATAGGGTCTTGTAAAAAAAAAAAAAATTTTAGGAAGCCCAACTGGTCTGGTACTAAGAAAAGTAAATGTCAAATCTAGTGTTGTCAACACGTACCCGGTTAACCATCGAACGATGCGAGTATCGGTTATTAAAACTGCTACTCGGTTACTCGTATATATAAAATTTATATTTTAACATGTTGAAATCAGCAGGAAAAAATATAATAATTTTGTTCATAAATTTCTATAATTAATTTACCGTTATTTAACAATATACTCGACCTAGCTTTTTACAAATACGACCGATTTGTTTTGATAAGTATTTCACAAATTATCTAATTGGAGGCTTTGATTGCCGAGGGATATACAAGTTTTGAAGGCTTGGGTTAATTATAATTATCTCTTATAAATCCGTGCTAGTCCGCAGTATACAAGATTAAAGATAACGCCACCAAATGCACCCAAATCTTTTAAAAGAGTGACTGAAATTAAATCCGTTAGTTGTAAAATATTGGTTGTATTGAAATGGAATATACATACACGGGTGGGACCAAAAATATGCTAAACCACCTTAGATTGAAATTTTACTCTGAATCAAGCCATATTTTATAAAGGACATCCCTCAAAACAGCAAAGTATTAAGGGATGTTCGAGAAAAAAATACTTTTGTTTGTAATTAAGAATAAAGTTGCATAAGCAGTGCATTTGTGTTTTATATATACCGGTATAAAATGATGAGATAAATATAGAAATGGTGACGTTACAAATACAAAATGTATTTTAATTACTTTTTAGTATTAAAACTGCAAAAAAGAGTGTTTTGAGGTCTAAAGAAAAACCATCCAAGTAACCGGTTACTCGATCGGAAAAGTAAGCAAGTACCCAGTTACTAAAAATCGTCCGATTTGACAACACTAGTCAAATCCTGTTGACCCTTATTTTTAACAAATTTGAATCCCAATATCCAAAGGATGCTTTGAGATAATGTAAGTTTTAATGAAACTAGGTAAGATGGATCTGGAGAGGATTTTTTTAATGCTACCAGTCAAAATTTTTTGAGCAAAGCTGGATGAACAAAAGATGTTTGTGAAACACTTGTGCCCCCCTCCCCCCTGGACATACATTACAGAGTTTGCTCAATCGTACCCAAAACAGAACTTGACCTAGATAGTCTTATTATAAATCTGTATACCAAATTTTCATTTCGTATGTGCAACCTCTAAGGCGAAAATGAATGAAAACTGCAAATAATTGGAATTTTTCTAAGTCAAAGGGGCATAACTAGGGATGGGTATTGCCAAAAATTTCATATCGCAATATATCACGATTTTCTCCCAAAATATCACGATAATATCATGATATTTTTACAAGCAAGTTTTACAATGGTTTTAAATGAATGTTCATAATGAATGTTCATAATTTTTCCTGAAAATATACTGGAAAAACATAATTTTACTTTAAATTTTTTCATTTTTTGAATTTACATTACATTAATCATGTTTGGATGCTAAGATGCCGTTCTTTTTTTTTTTACACTTCCTGTAATTGTAATTAGAAAGATTGAACAAGTAAATGAATATTTTCTGGAATATACAATTATATACCTAAATACCAGTATTTTAGTCACGATATGTATCACACAATTAAAAATCACGATATACCGGTATACCAATAAAATTGCACATCCCTAGGCATAACTCTGTCAAAAATTGCTCAATCGTACCCAAAACAGAACCTGACCTAGATATTCTTATGATAAATCTGTATACCATATTTCATTTCAGTATGTGCAACCTCTGTGAAGAAAATGAAAGGAAACTGTTGGTGGAGTGACAGACAGACTGACCAACAGACTGCAGCAAAGCAATATGCCCTCCCTTCTTTGAAGGGGGGCATAAAAACAGACAGCATTATGTCACCTTGTTTATTACATATAGCTACTTGTTTATTACATATACATGTAGCTACTAAAATTGAATTAAAATAATCAAAAGATATTATCCCCATTTAATATTTAGTCATCCTTTGGATTTCTTGGACTATTTCTGTGGTTATTTCATTGTACCTGTCCAAACTGTGACTGGTCTGCCTGTGTGACTGTCTGTATTGTTTGGACGGCTGGTTGTTCTGAGGACTGGATAATGATTGGCTGATTTCCCTGCTTTCCTTGTAGCTGCATCTGAATGGCTTGTAACTGGGCTGGTGTCAGTTGAATCTACAACACAGTTTTACCATCAGATTGTTTGTCTCTGTCTATCTTACTCTGCTAAAGGTACTGACAAACTATGATAGCCTCACATACTGTATGCAGCATAAATAATTATACATGTACTGTTCCAAACGTTTGCATGTAAATAATTATATTCTTCAAAACATTTACAAGTAAATTATTATATTATTCCAAACATTTACATATAAATAATTATACTGCTCAAAACATAATTATACTATTCAAAATTTTTATATGACAGTAATTACACTGTGCAAAACAAATACATGTAAATATTATAATGTGCAAACAATTAAGTAATATATAACAAATTTAAAGAACTTCACTGGATTTGATCTTGTACCAATCCAATTCATTTCCCAGTGAAATTTTGAATCTTGTTTTTTTATTACTTATACATTTGAGACGGACAATTGTATATAAATATTGCACTAAATGCCATTGTATATTTTTCACAAAACGGCACAAGGTAAATCGGCTTGGAAAGCGGTTATATTTTGAATTCACTTGACAAAGGGTTCTGTTTCAAACTGAACATTCTGTGAAAGGCTACTTGTGATCAATAATTGTGAGAAGATTGTTATCTGGGATTTTTTGTTTCCCTGAGAACCAGTATTCATGGTATTCGATGGTTAAAAAGACACAAGAAACACAAGTCTGATATTGGAAAATAACAAAGTTGGGGGAATTTCGGTGGGATAAGGTATGGGGACACCAGGCCACTTTATTTCATATTCAGAATCAGAAATCAAACATATACCTTTATAATACATGTATTTACTTTTGAACTTCTTATGGTTAATTTGATTCTGACAGTATGAAGGAGAATACTATTTTCTTTGGAATATATCCTACATAATGTCAAGCTGAATGACGAACATTGAGCTTTATCTAGAATTAAATGTATCGATCAAGTTCTGATGTAACTTATAATGATTTTCACTGAGTAGTTTCTTTTACAAATTCAGATTTGGTTCAAGATCATGTTAATATAAGAAAAATTATTTAAAAAATAAATTTCTTATCTTGGAATGTATCCTATTGACAATTGTTAAGCAAACTATTAATGACATTTATAACAGTAGCTGTTTTCTACTATACAAGGACTGTCCAAAAAGTTGGAGGACAATGGCGTTTTGTCATTTTAAAAGGTCTAATATAAACCGGTACATATTGTATACAAACTAGAAATATGTCCATAGGACATGAATGCCCCACTGAGGGTATATTAGTAATGCAACATTTTAACACAAATTAAGAAAAGTGAGGTCAAGATCAAAGGTCAAGGTGAAAAAATATTGATGCAGTTGAATAGCTTACATCAGTATGTATCAGCATATGAAGTTTGATTACACTATCTTGAATGGTATCTTTAAAACTGAGCTAAACACTAATTTAAGAAAAGTGAGGTCAAGGTCAAAGGAAAGGTCAAAGTCAAATAATGTTGATGCAGTTGCATAGCTCTCATCAATATCTATCAGCATATGAAGTTTGATAAAAATATCTTGGATAGTTTCTTTGAAACTGAGCTTTGAACAGAGCTAAACGCAGAGAGTGACGGAAGGACAGATGGAAGGACGGAAAACGGACATGACAAACACTATTTGCCCCGGCCATATTCATGGCGGGGCATAAAAATGTTTGTTGTAAAAATTCAAGTTAAACTTGTTAGGTTTAATTTTTTTAACTTAAATTTTATGTAAAATTCATGATACCAGTAGCTAGGGTCCGGAAAGTGTGCACAGCCCAAGCTTAAATAGCATTGAAATTCACAAATTTTGTATCCCTTCCCTAATATATGCTGTATGCCAAAATTGGTTGGAATTGGTTTGGCGGTACCGCAGAAGAAGCTCAAAATGTTCAAATGTTAATGGACAACGCACAACGAAGAACAAAAACAGGTAGCAATAGGCCACCTGAGTGACTTAGGTGACCTAAAAATATGGTAAGTGTTTTTACAGTACATTATGAATTTAGCTTTACGTCGGACTGGACCGTGCATCTTCAATATACTTAATATTGAAGCTGATAATATTTATAGTGATTTGAATTATGTATTTACTCATTAAAGGTCTATATTTTAATATTGTTTCACACACATGGCAGTGTTGTTAATGTAAACAAAAAAATAGCATGTGTCCATGAACATTTTTGAAAGCCCTCCTATATGCTGTAGTATTGAGATTTACCAACATTTCAAACTAAATGTTCAGATATTTCTACTTTAGGATACACTTTCAAATTTTCTGCTCCTAAAAGAGGAGTCACAGGGGTCAGATGCACTATGCCATACACTCTCTTTATATCTTAACTTTTATAATGATTCTGGCCCCTTGTGTGCTCTTGGTGCATTTTTGTTTTTTAATTGCACTGTCTTGATTATTCAATGCAATACTTATAGACAACATACCATCAACAGATCATTCCCCATACAAATGACTCGAAAACTTTGACTTTTTGTCTTAAAGTTAGAATAAAAGATTCATGAGTTACAATTCAGTTTATTTCAGTAACTTTTACACAATAAATTAGAAACCTGCATAAAACATATTTTGTATACATTGTGTTTTGCATACACTGATGTATTCATTATAAGGAAGTTGATGTGTAAAAAAAATTATAACTTTTTTCCCTAACTTTTTTTTTTTTCATGTAATTGTAAAACCAAGATTTTTTTTCCCATTTACATGTACATGTATATCAAATTATATCCTGACCAGTGCTTTTGGGTTTGTTTTTTTAATGTTTATTACACTTTTTCATTTTTCAAAAGTTTTCACCATATTTATAGTGCACATTACATACTGTAAATCATATGGCAATTTAAAATAACATTTTTAAAGAGGCAAGAGGACATAATGTGCCATCCAGACTCAAGATTTTTTTTTTGGGGGGGGGGGGGTCTAAATTAGCAAAGGCATTTTCATTCATCAAATTGAATATAAATTTGATACCTCACATTTTTAATAATTTAGCAGTCAATGCTGAACTAGGTTTTTAACCACTTTCCTATTTATGTTATGAAAACATGTTTAAATATTATATCAGATTAAGAAATATATGGAATCAAATACCACATATAGTAATGCACTTTTAGTATCAGCTTTCAAAGAGGACAAAGAGACAGCTCTGAAAAAGGGTTATACTTCATGGCAAAGCAAGATTTTCAATCTTCAACAAAAACTAAACTTGACCTCTTTAAATACTTCCCATAAGGACTTGATGTTTAAAATAAATAAAACTTTTGTTGATATGACCTTTGAACAATTGAGCAAAATCTCATCTTCTAACTCAGGAATACTTTATTTCAATTGTAAAATCTTAAATTTTACTGATTATTAATTGCAGGATTACTTAAAGTTTCCCTTGAAAAAGCATGAAAGATCACAGCTAACAAAATTAAGAATCAGTGCACATTCACTCTTCAATGAAACAGGTAGATATTGTAAACCAATAATAACTAAGGAAAAAATGTTTATGCTAAGCTTGTAAATTATTGGTTGAAAATGAAAAACACTTTGTACTTTACTATCCTGTTTATGACAATCTTTGATTTCAATATTGTGATATTTGGATGATAAATTATACTGTGGTACTGATCCCATCAAAGAAATTGTTAACACGTGTGATTATAATGCTACAAAACGTTTATGTAACTACTTAGATAAATGCTTTATGCAGAGAAAACAAATAAAGGGACTATAAAGAATTGTGTAAAATTATCTTGCATGCTATAGCCATTATGTTATAATATTTTTTCTTTTCATCTGTTACCTGTCATTTGATTTCTTATTTTGACTGTATATCAACTTGGTGATGTCAATAAATTGAATTAATTATTTAAATATGATCTTTGCAGGAATTACAGCTTTAGAAAACAACCAAAAAGCGCATTTTCCTATCCATAATATGAACACTGACATTAAAATAATTCAAGATTTTGAAGTCTAAATCAGTTAACACGGTAAAGATTCTATTAATTTTTAGAGGCTAATTCTAATATGCCAAACATTGATGAATGGATGGATTTCACTTTTAAAAAATATCTGACTTCTTTTTTTATTATTCAAATTGCTCAGTTTTTCCCACTGAGTACATAAGTATACAGTCCATATTTTTCCAGCATTAATTATACATGTACAAATTTCAAATGCATGTATACATGCAAATTCTTACTTAATTTTGTATTGTCACTCAAATTTGGCTAACACATGAGGTCCTGCCCTTAACATATATGCAGGAACTATTAAGTTTCAATGAACACAAATTATATGCCTTTTAGAGCTTCTTGTACATGTTTTTACGTTGGCTAAAACTTCATATATATTTTTTACTTACATGCAAATTTAGAAACATTTCAAAACCAACTTGAAGGTTTGTCTTTTAATACTGCTATGAAATATGACAAATCAGGAGATAATGTCTCCAATCTCTCTTATTCAGTATATTCTATATGTAAGCTATCCCTTACCATACTTTAAAGAATGTTTAAAATTGGTTGCAGTTGCATATTATAAAAACTCTGTATACATTGACTTTGTTTATTTTAGGAGGATGGAAGAAATCAAGTGGACTTAATCCTGGATTTGCTCTTTATATTGAAATAATAACTATATAGTTTTATTTTCTTTGAAAATATCACAAGTTCAAACAAGTTGAACTCAAATGGCTTGAGGGAAGCTATTTTATGTGTGAGTACACCCAAGGAACTTTAAGGCTTTTAAAATAAAGTGTACCACAAAATCAAAATTTTTACTGGCTTGAGGGAAACCATTTGATACTTCTTAAATGAAAATTGTAGCAGTTTCAGTGCCATCTAAACCCATGGTTTACAAAGCTAAATCAAATTCTAGGGAGACTTCTTAACGCAGTGCACATTGATCATTATTAAAACTATAAAAAAAATTAAATACATGTCAATGTATATATCTTAAATACATTAATTTCTTTGTATTACTTAAACATCCTAAGAATACTGAAAGAGACAAAAAGGTAGATTTAAAAAAAAAATATTGTTTGATATTTTCCAATAACAAGGCTCATAAATATCTAAGCAAAGAAAAATACACATTGTCAATCTAAAAGTTTTCATCTGATAGGCTTACGTTTCAAAGTAATTTTATTACTTGCATAGTATGCAAACTTCACAGTTGATTAATCATTTACATGATGTTAACATTTAAGATCCAAACATTTCTCTCTTCTCATTGTTCCATATTTTCAGGCCCTTGGCAAAGTCATGGTTTTGTTTTATTCTCTTCAAAGTTCATTTTAAATGACAAATTCCTTATCACCATTTTTTGTGAATGTGTATTTATTAATAAATAAATGAAAACAAAGAATAACAAATGTATTACTTTGTTATGAAAAAAGATCTACTACTGCATGCTGATTGAGCGAATTCATCATGCAATCAGCCTTATTTTTTACGTGTGATTGCACAAGACAGTTAATAGCTCTAAATTTAACAGTAAAATATGTTTGTATTCACAGCATAAATTAATCTTTTGACAATAAAAAAGGTACAAAATCATCTCTAACATCTTTGGTATGACATCCATAGCTGCCCAGCTGTTTTGCGTCTTGTTGTGTATAACTTGTAACAATGTACTTTTTCATATGCGGAAGCATAAATTCTAGACGATTCGATGCAGTGGTCATTAGCAGTGAAACAGGTACAAGTGCCCTGCTGACATTCATCTATTTCAGCAGTGATAACACCAAAAGTGACGATATTACCACGTGTTCTTAATAGATTTTTTAAGGTTTACAAAAATGAGGGAGAGAGGGAGGTTATGAAAATATTAAGGCGACTTAAACTTTGCTTTTTTGATAATTTATGGTGAAGTTTGAAGCCCAAAAGCAACTACATGTATTTCACCTCAATCGTCCCCTATGTTGGTCCTTGATGGTCAGACCAATTTTCTTGAGTCAGATACCTGACCCAGTCAATATTTCCTTGGGTAGAGTAAACTTACAGGGACATTTTGCACTCCATTGGGGGTGATGACCTGTTGATACACTTGTGTCTGTTGTTGGGGTTGCTGAATTTGAACTTGTTGCACCTGAGGTTGACTTGTTTGTATTGTTTGTTGATGAGGAGCTTGAATTTGAATCACCTGAGGCTGTGCTACCTGAAATTGTGAATCCTTTTCTTTCTTATCTAGTAAAGGTATGTTCACATGTGATAACTGACAAATTTTACTATTACTACATGTACATTGTAAAATTTCTCAATCTAGTAATTGGTATCAATTAATATCAGGATAAGGTATCATCCTAAACTAGAATTAAGCCTTTGGAATATTGAAACCTACCACTGGATTTTGAGCTGCCACAGGATTATGAGCAGAAACAGGCTGATGAATCTGGAAGGGCTGTTGAATAATTTGACCCCCTGAAACATTGAAAATTAACATTTATTCTTCAGAATGACAACACTATCAAGTTACTGACATTCCTTTACTTTTCACTTCTTTACAAAATAAAAGTAACTTTTTAAGTTTTCTTCATGAAGACAGAGAATTGAATATGTTATACAATGTACCAGGTAGTTGTATCTGTGTTGCTTGGGGTTGCTGTTGTGTTATTTGTGTCTGGACAGGTTGTGTCTGTTGCACTGTTTGTTGTGGTGTGGCTGTCTGCTGAACTGGTTGCTGCTGCTGCTGTTGCTGTTGTTGTTGCTGTTGCTGCTGTTGCTGAGCCTGCTGACTGGCAAGTTGAAGATAATACTGTATTTGATCTGGCAGCATAGATGTGCTCCTTGTACTATCATCCTGTTTATATAGAGAAGATATAGTAAATCAGGGCATTTGCATGAAACACACAAACATTTGCAATGAAATTACAAAGGTTTTTTGATTTTAAAACAATAGTTTACCAGTACCTGTCTTTTTGCAGGCTTGAGTTCATCTCTCGGAACTATGTCGATGAGAAAATCAAACTGGTCAAATTTGGTAATGGCCATGGCAATATCATTTCTCTGCAAAATACATTCTATGTATGTATACTGATCCAGTGTTTCAAAAAAAAAAAAAAAGAAAAAAAAGAAAAAAAAAAAACAAGACAAGAGGCCCATGGGCCACATCGCTCACCTGAGCACACTGGCTAGACTAAGGCACAAATCAGTTCAGTAATGAACGGGGGGGGGGGGGGGGGGGGGGGGGGGGGGGGCTTGAAATTTAAACTACCTGATGATGCTTCATGTCAATATAACAAATGAATTTGTTGTACTTGAGAAGATTTTAAAAGAATTTTCCCATTTATTCCTTTGTAAAAATTTGATCCCCCTTTGTAGCTCCTCCCTATCTCAGGGGTCATCATTTGAACAAACTTGAATCTATATTACCCGAGGATGCTTCCATATCAATAAGACTAACATAGCTTTTCTGTTCTTGAGAAGAAATTTTTTTTTCTATATGTTCTTATGTAAAACTTTCGATTTCCCATTGGGCCCCGCCCTACCCCCGGGGGTCATCATATGAACAAAATTGAATCTACACTACCTGAGGATGCTTCCATATAAATTTGACTCATCATGGCGTTGCTGTTCTTGAGAAGAAGATTTTTCCTATATATTTCTATGTAAAACTTTGATCCTCCATTGTGGCCCCGCCCTACCCCCGGGAGCCATGATTTGAACAAACTTGAATCTACACATCCTGAGGATGCATCCATATAAATATGACTCTTCATGGCTTTACTGTTCTTGAAAAGAAGATTTTTAAAGATTTTTCCTATATATTTCTATGTAAAACTTTGATCCTCCATTGTGGCCCCGCCCTACCCCCAGGGGTCATGATTTGAACAAACTTGAATCTACACTACCTGGGGATGCTTCCATATAAATATGACTCTTCATGGCTTTACTGTTCTTGAGAAGAAGATTTTTAAAGATTTCTCCTATATATTTCTATGTAAAACTTTGATCCTCCATTGTGGCCCCGCCCTACCCCCAGGGGTCATGATTTGAACAAACTTGAATCTACACTACCTGGGGATGCTTCCATATGAGTTTCATCTTTCCTGGCCCTGTGGTTCTTGAGAAGAAGATTTTTTAAAGATGCTATTCATTTTTCACTAATTCTTAATTATCTCCCCTTGAAGGAGGGCATGGCCCTTCATTTGAACAAACTTGAATCCCCTTCACCCAAGGATGCTTTGTGGCAAGTTTGGTTGAAATTGGCCCAGTGGTTCTGGAGAAGAAGTCGAAAATGTGAAAAGTTTACAGACAGACGGACAGACGGACTACAGACAAAATGTGATCAGAAAAGCTCACTTGAGCTTTCAGCTCAGGTGAGCTAAAAAAGGAAACCTGCATTTAAATTTCTAAACTTTTTTTTTTACTTTAGTATTTATTGTGGCAAAGACACATATTTAACAAGCTAAACGTTATGGACAATTCAAAATTCATGTGTGAACGTTATGTAGTAGAACAAAATGATTAAGTTCTTATTTTTTTCAAGACACTTCCAAATTTAGTTTTATAAATACCTGCAGAGTTCTCCTTTTGTTGTCCTCTGTGTGGATCCAAGCTCTGAGAGATAGCTCACTTATAAAGATTTCAGCAGCCTTGGCAAATAACACTGGTGCTTCTGCACTGATCATCTATAGCAACAAAAACCATAAGTATGAAAGGGGCTGACAAAAATGTAAATACTGCTAGTTAACTAAATACAAACTGGTAAAATATAGTAATTTAGTGCTAGTTTAACTAAATACTTTAAAATGTAATTTTGTATCTTCAATTTCTTGTACATGGTCTAAAACTGCAACTCTAATAGTTTATTACACAGTAATGAACATTAACAATCTATCATCTGCTGCTTTTAGAGCAATGTGCTAACCTTGACATCCTCATCAAGTTTCATTATTTTCTTAATTCTGGCCAAAGGTAACTCTTGTTGCTTAAAGTCATCCTGAAATATTTCATATCATAATTGAGAACATGTACCATCAACTTATCAGTATCGGATAAAAATAAATCATTACTTTTAACAAACTAATAAAAGGATAACTGCATGTATTATGATTGGTATTAAAGGAAGTCAATTAAATCATACATAGTTTTGCTATAAACTTGACAGTTATATATACTCAATGCTATCACCTAAATGATTCTGAATGAGTGTCTTGAATACTTAGGGTACAGATGTGTCAGTAAGATTGACTATGCAGAGGCATCGTCCCCTGGTGCCCTCTGTATTCAAGCCACACTATATACATGTATTAGCATACTGCTATTATTGTCAATTTCTTTATCTTCCTTCAGTTTTCTTCCTACTCAATATTTTTGATCCAGTTTCAGACTATTGTGACTATGTTGCAAATCTTGCATTTTCATGAGTATCCTACTCGTGTTATTGTACATCTTTCATTTGTACCCTCATGATAGATATGATTTATATTCTGTCATATTACAATATACTTTAATATTATTTATATGTAATCATTCTGAAATAATTGTATATGCCCCCTGAGGGCCCTTGATTGGTGAATAAACATATAAAGTATACTCAATGAGATATGACAAAAAAATTGTTTTTTCTTACAACAATTCATTTCAGCACTGGTGACTGTTTCTATGTAAGTTAATTTATATTTTTTCAGTGACTGAACTGACAATCGCAGTTATTTTAAGATCAGGTGGCAAAATACAATATATACTTTATATAGCTACCTGCTTAAGGCCTCTAATGTTGCTGATGGTCTTGGGCCAAAATTGCTGGAGCATCATGTTTGCCTCACCACTGATAGTGACTCCCCCTGAGGGGGAGGATCCACCTGGAGTGTAGTTAGGATCAGACATTTTTCAAATCCTAAAAAAAATTACGATAAAATATTTTGTATATCAGTCTGGTTAGATAGTAAAAATGAAAAAAAGAACAGTGTAGAACACTCCAACGACTGCAATAAATGAATATAAAATGGAATCGTTTTGATACTAACCATATTTATCAGGTGTCTATACATTTTTCAACAGTACGTAAATCTTTTAAACACATTATTTATATACTATAATTTTTCAATCAAGACATTGTGTGACATTTTATAGTGTTTTGTAAATTGCAACAGAGTAAAACTACTGGCTGGCCATCTACAATACGATTGATTGTGGCATTTGGACCAATAATTTGGTCAGAATTTACATACCCAATCAACACATGAACCAATGACCTACCCACCAATGAGAGTGAAGAACTATCTAGTCCAAATACAGGTGCGCGAACACTGGAAAAGGGATAAAAAGGACTACTATTGAAAATAACTGGCACTTATTAGCAAAAGTTTGATATTATTTTTCAGCAAATTAGTATAGAAAACAAAAAAAATGTTTTGTTTCCTTCTTTATGGGAAGAGAAAATGGCGGATTCTGATTGGAGAAGTAATGCGCATGCGTCACGTACATAAACAGAAAGCACACACACACAGCTTCCGGTAGATGAAAAATGCAGGTGATTGAATGAATTAACGAATGTCAATTTGTTAAGATTGAATGTATTTATTCATTTGAAATCAGTTGTATACTTTCTGTCAAAGCATTCAAGAAAAGCAATGAGCATGAAGCAATCTATTGGAAGATCGAGTTTGTAATGTTCTGAGATTGTAGCTTGATCATGTTGATATGGTCTAAAGAAATTATGTTAGAATCGAATAGTAAATTGGATGGACAATATCTGGTTGCCCATCCAAATGTTTTTCAGATCATTGAACTGAAAACTAGTAACTAGATGCCATCTTAACTTTAAAAAAAATGTTGTTGATTAAGCTATATAGCTTGATTTAGCTATATAGCTTTATTAAGCTATTCAGAATAGCTTGATTTAGCTATTTTACACACTTTTTTTTCAAATGTGTTATTTTCCAAGTATGCACAAAAAGTCGCACCTTGGTGCAGTGATGATATTCAACCTTGAACTCTTATGAAAATAATGTATGTAAAAATCACTAATCAAATTGCGTCTCCTTAAGAGACTTTGTACTCAAAGTTCTAAAAGTTTTGGGGCTATATAAAGCAATTGATACAGTTACTTCTTTGATGAAATTATAAAGGAGGCCAATTATGGTCAACAAGATAATTGATTGGTAATAATTCAGTACAATGAGAAGCAATCATACTTATCCATGCCTCAACGCACACAAGGTAGTGTACAGTTACCCAAACAATGGAAATTCATCTTTTGCTTAAAAGTATTCAAATGCTGCAATGTTAGAACTATCTTTGATTTGAATTGTTGATTTGATAACCCATATTACATATATGAATATAGTCAAATACTTGCGACTTTTTGTCTATTTTGTACAAATAACATTTTTGTGAAAACCTGCATATAAATAGCTTTATCAAGCTATTTTGAATAGCTTAATAAAGCTATGTAGCTATTTTAAGCTATATAGCTTAATCAAGAGATTGTGCTGGACCTGTTGAATATCCACAATTCAGATTAAAATATATATTTTACAATGTAGACCTATATCAGTTCAGATTAAAATATATTTTGCAATGTATATCAATTTCAGAAAGAAGAAAAACAACTGGAACAAACAGTGGAATCTCTTATTCAGAGAGTCCAGGACATAAAGAATTCCATTGCAAATTTTCTTCTGAAACTGGAAAATGAATACAACACCTTACAATGGTATGTGAATATTGCACAGCCACTGGAAGTAAATGTAAATATAGAGTATGTGTGTGCTTTTAATACACACTTGTATTTTATTACAATATTCATTAACTTTCAGTGTCCATGGTGAAGGTAACTGAATTTCATATAAGGTTTTTGTAATTTTTAGCCTTTCTAATAAATTGGAGAAGGTATTTTCTGATGAGAAGGTTCAACAAAATGGGTGTTTTTCAGAATCAGCTTATAATGCATTTCAAATTAAGGACCCTCTATACACTGACGAAAAATGTTTTTTGGACTTTGAGAAAATTATAAAGTGTAAAGGAGGATATTTTGAATTTAACTAATTCATTTTTAATATAGGGAGTGTGCCTTTTTTATCCAGGAAAAATCTTCAAAGATAATGAAGTAGTTATAAATAAAATTCGCTTTTTCTTACTCAAATGGAGAAAATACATGTAAATAAATTTTTCAACTTCTCTATCTTGGTCTAATATAATGTTTGCAATACTTGGATTTATTTTAAATTATGTCATACAGTGCAGATTGCAATTTATTCTACTTCTATATCAAATGAATGGTCAGTCTAACTACACAAAAGTACCCTGAAATTAGGGTGAAGTGTAGAGAGGGTCCTTAAATAAAAATGAAGTGTATATGATCTACAAAAATCGGAAAATATTCAGTAAGTTATAGATCTCTGATTTGGTCTGACGATTTCAAAATTTATTGGATGCTGTAATTCACTTGTGGAAATGTTGATCGAATTCAATAATGTCTTTTATTTGAACTTATTTCACATAATATTTCAAGACACTTGCGTTGTTTGCTTATACTAAAAAGTATATTTAGCCCCACTAATGAAATTGAATATACTTAACTTGTATTATTGCACTTTTGGATACATTTGTTGATTTTTATTTTGTTGCTTTTTTAATAGGCCCACAATGCTTGATAACTTTGCTCTTCTATCTGGGCAGCTGAACACCCTTGGAAAACTTCTCAGAAATGAAAAAGTTCCACCATTAAGAAATTCTGTGCTTCTCCCAATAGCTTTATCTGGTGACAGAGACCAAGAGTTGGAGGTAAGTAAATTTATTTATTTTATTCAATAATTGTATAGATTAATTACTTACACAAAAACATCACAGGTTCATCCCACAACACCTTGAAAAATAAAAATACTTTAAGTAAATAAGATTGCCAGATTAGAAATTGTATTAGTTAGTATACAACATGCAGAGCAGCAATAAACATAAAAATATTGTAACTGAGGATGGCACTTGAGATTTTCACCTTAGAAGAACTGCAGAATCTGATAATCATTCATTTATTTATACATACATTTGCTTTCTGAAATTGATAATAAGTTTACATATCTATGTCATTCAATTCATTTTTCCAGTACAATGAAAACTTAAAGATCAGGGCTGCATTCAAGATCATGGCAGGTATCTAGATCTATGATCTTGAACAATATGCAAACTTAGCTGCTATACATAGGGATAACAAGCAGTAATTAATGCAGTGCATTCCATAAACCTAAAATACCTTGTTAGCAGCTGGGCTATTAGCTATGATCTTGACCACAGTCCATGTTTTATCATTTTGAATTGAATGCTCCTAGGCAGCATATTTTGTTCAGCAACATATTGTGTCAAATATGGAGGGCAACAAGGATTCCAAGAAAAGAAATCATGATAAATGACAACAGAAATTTCTTAAATTATTTTTATTTCTAGAAAGTGACTGAGAGAAGAGTAATAGCTTTCAATGCTGATGTTGTGCCCCATTATCTGAGAACCAAACCAGAGCCAGATGTAGAGGAACGATTACAACCAGTTTTAAGCCGTGCATCCACTTTGTCACCTGAAATGGCCCAGGTATAGATCTACCTAGACAGAGTTTTACTATGATGTGCCTTTCAAAGAAATACTTGATATCACAATAACTTACTTAACGAAACTCTTTCATAGTGGAGGTAGGAAATGTTTCTTGGCAGGGGATAGTGTGCTGCTGAATATAATGCAAGATCAATAATTGTGGATTTTTTAAGCACAGAAAAGAAAGAAGTCCCGGTGAAATATCTTGCTGAACATTTGCTGAACTACGCTTATAAAATTTAAGTGGAGTTAATCCTCATGTGTTACATTTTTGTTGAAATTTTTAATGAACTTTCTGATAATCGTTACTTTTGGAAGCTGATAAAACACTCTAAACATTCCTTATTAAGGCTGTAATAAAAAAATTCCTAGATTCTCATTCAAAATTTTTGAAAAATCAAGGCTGGCGGGTGGATTTTATTTTATATTTTTTGTTTTATGCATTCAATGTGTAGATTTTTTGTTGACCTGATCAATCAGTGCAGATTTATCTATAATGCCCGAAAAAAAGTCACAGTAGAGGTCCATTTAAATCTGCATATCCCTTAATACACATCATCACCAATCTTTCACAACCAATGATCCTTGTTTAATATATATATATTACTTCAATTACCGCTTCAATTACCATCTTCATGATCTTGTCAGCTGTCAAAATCATGCCAACATTCACGGGATTTATAACAAAAGTTGCATGGTAGTTGAATACTGATCCCGATCAGAATCAAGATGAAATAAAACAGAAATTAAAAAAATCGAGGTGAGGGTAAAAAATCGGGGCGGGTGGGGATGAGAATCTAGGAATTTATTTATTATGGCCTAAACAACCTACTGTTTAAAGTTCAATCCTTGGCAATATATTGTACTTTCGGCATACTGATTGTTCGAAGCATTCAATTGTCACTAGCACACACGATGTTATGCCCCAGAAATCCTGCAAGATTAAGATCTCTATCGACTTCCTTGCAAAAGACCAGCCATAAAATAGATGACCACAAGTAATCATGAAAATAAGAATCCTGCTTGTTTTTAAGACCTTATGAAAGTAAAAGAATTAATGTTATGTAGCCTATTTTTTGTTTGAAAAAGAAAAGCAATATTTATGCCTTTAAAAAATACCAAATATAGCTCCAAACTGAAGATGACTTCATATATTTTAACAATAAAAATGACTCTAATTGTATATATATTATGCAGAAACAGATCAATAATATGAACAAGATGACCAGTAACATTGTGGATATCATCAAGTCTCACCAGGAAACCATGGAAAAGGAAGCCAGTGAGTCACAGCTTGTCAAGCTTGGATTTCTGAATAAATGGGAACAACTAATCCCATATACCTGAGAAAGATGTTCTACAAACTGTAAATTAGAAAGAAAAATCCTTTCATTTATGTTTTGATAAATTAACTCACTTTGCTATATATATAGATATATGCTAAGGGCATGTGATGTCTACAAACTCCATCATTTTCTTTGAAGCTGTTCCACATTAGAGTTGTTTTCTTCCACAGATCAGAAATCCTCTCTCTCCCAGACATCATCACAGGCTGATACAAATACACTTCTGTCAGCAGTTCTAACAGGGAAAGGGTTCAAGTCAGCTAGTATGAGGCGAGCAGAGATGTCACAGCAACAGAGCATGCAACCTCAGCAACAAGCAGCACAGCAGAAACCACAAGGTGCATATACATGTGTAACATGTATAATGTTTATTTACAGTCTGAGCCTATTTAGTTCAATATCAGCAGGTCATTTTGAATACAGTGTATAGTGTTATTTCTGTTGGCAGATGTTAAATTCTATATTGTTATTGCATTGATTAATTATTTCATTTTTGTCTTTATGCTTCAATATTTTTTTGTTTTAGGAAACAACTTAGGAAAAGTTCACAGTTCAATAAAGACCAACATTAAGCAGGGCTCAAGTTCTCATCCCTACCAGAGAAACTAAGACCAAGGACTGTGAATCTGATGAATCAGTGAACAAATTCTGATTATGCTGGTGTTGATGACTTGTTAAATTGTTGAACACTGAGAAGGCAAGCAAAGGAAAATCATAAGTGAAATGCAGTATGATACTTTGGAAGTGAAAGATACAGAATTTCAAAAATGATGAGAAAAAACATTACATAAATGTATTTCTTGTTGGTGCTGAAATAAAAACCTTAAAAACACATGTATAAGAGTTTTATATAAAATACTACAGTTAAAACCTTCAACAAAAGATTGAAAACTAGATGCTCTCATATGACAATAATACTTGTATTCGCATTGTATTTACGGTAACATGTGGGTTCGTCCCGATTACATGTTCACTTCGAGTTGTTTCGCCTCGAGTAGTTTCGTCCCCATTATACCTGTAACTTCTCATTAAAGTTGTCAAATTTTTGCACATGAGGATTTTTGCAGGCTAGTGTCACCTTGTTTGCTTTCTTTTACATGTCAGTGGCATCAGAAGAAAATTGAAGGTGGAGGGGATGGGGGCTAAACCAACCAAAAAACGTTGGGGGGGGGGGGGGGGCTAAGTCCCAATTTTCAATGCCTGCATTATGTCTGTTTTTGCAAAAAAAGGGGGAGGGGCTTAGCCTCCTCTCTGGTTCCGACGCCTATGCATGTTTGTTCTGGCACCAAATTTGTCCTTGTTAATTCTTCTCTCACCACGTTTGATTTTCTGTGAACTTTTTATGTTCTATCCAAAGAAAGTAAGCATATCTTTTTCACTCTTTCTTACTGTATTATGTAGTACTATAATAGTATGAGAGCTCATTTGCAGAAATGTAATAAAACATTTTATGGAAAATTTTCCGAGGAAATGTGATACGTCATACTCTCCTTCTTCATGGAGAACTAGCGGAGTGGTCACAATAATTATTCTTTAATGCAAATTAATACTTGTATCAAATTAAATTGAAAATGCTCTGTTAAACAAACGGACCATGGGCAATCTAATTAAAATTAGATCAAATAGATCGCTACACTAAGCTATCTAGCGGATCAAAGATCTAATTTTAATTGGATTGGATCACGGGCCTCCTGTTTAGTATTTCAAATAATAAATTCATTGTCTAAAATTAAAGAATTTAATGAATCATAAATTCTGTTTAAGAAAGAGCACGGAAAGGTTTTTCTTTATAAAAGGGGCGTTTTTTTTTTAAATTTGGCTACTATTTAGCCCCCCTTTCAAGAGCGGGTCTTATGAAAATACGAAATTTTATTTCACATCTGCAGGACATCACCAGTCATATTCCAAAAGTTTGAGGAGTTCTGTGAAAATGGTTTTGAGAAAAATCACTTTTTCGACCCCAATTTGGTCTTAAGAATTAAAATGAAAATTCCAAACCTAATGCACATCTACGTTACACCACCAGTCATATTCCAAAAGATGATTAGGCTACTGCGCAAAATATGAGAGGAGTTCTGGAAACCAAATCTTCGTAGAAAGGGGGGGAAGGGGTGTCGAGAGAGAGAGAGGGATCCATTGTATCCCCAAGTACTCGATAACATTCTAGCCAAGTTGTTTATTTGATAAACCCCATTAATTAGGGCTACATCCTTATCATTACATACATAAATAGACTATTTTATCGAACTTTAAACCTGAACTTAATCATTAGTTTTAATTAATTTTGTTACCTTTGACATTTTGCCATCTTTTACTTCACGTCCTTTTCATATCACTACACGTGTATTTGAACACATATAAATTCTGATCAGAGAGATAAACAGATGATTGATTGATCCCATCGTTATAATATTTAAGTCGAGTTATGTAGAAGGTCTGTATAAAAGAAATATGAACGTTCAAAATAAAGTCTGCATGCATACTCTATGCGCTATGATGTAATGGAACAGACTTGGATTAGTTTTGTACACACATCTTACCCTATTTTTATTTGTTAATAAATTTTAATATTTATATAGTTATGGTTAAAATTGCAAAGCAAAATACATGGCGGATCCTGTATGTGTTGGGAAGGATTGGCAACAGCTGGAGGGTGAGAGGTCCGGGACAACATATTGAGCATCCTCCCTTAAGGGTGGGGACACAACTCTCTCTAAATCAATTGCTAAAGTGACAGTATTTACTAGTAAATGTTTTAATGTTCCTTTAGTATTTTAATGGCAGTTATCCGAATGTCCGTGTTTTCTATTGAACCTTTTGATTTGGACAAGATAAATAGAGTGTGTTATATTATATTAGTGAGGTCCCACAGTGTACAGATTATCAAGAATTTCGATTACAATGAAGTTGTGATAAGTGTATTTGCTTTATTAGTCAACGTACAAAATAGTATATTTATGTTTAACAGATTACATAGCCACTGTACTGCATGAAGACAGAAAGTTAAAAAAGCCTACGATATTTGCAGGTAAGATACAGAGAAAAACTGTTGCAGAACTTTTAAATCTCTAGAGAAGTTTATGGGCATAGCCAATATCGAAGTCCTGTCCAGTTCTCTAAGAAGAATATTTAGACCTTTGGGAAATTTCAGTTGCAAATTGATGACACAAGAAAAGCATGCGACTCCCGAGAGATATAGGAAGTTGTTGGAGGGGGATACTGCTAGATATAAGCATTCAAGGGGAGAAAATAAAGAGCTAGTGAAAATTTCTTTTAAAAATCTTCTTCTCAATAACCACAGGGACAGAAAAGATGAAACTTACGTGAAAGGTTTACTACAAAGTGTAGATTCAAGTTTGTTCAAATCATAACCCCTGGGGGTAGGGTTGGGCCACAATGGGCGATCAAGCTTTTTGACATCATTGACACCTGCTTTTTCAATAAAAATGGAACTCTTAAATATACCTACCTTGTCGTTGGTCATTTGCAAAATTATTTTGTTAAAAACATTTTGACTGTACGCACAAGTACTCTGAAGTTGATCTTAAAAAGATGCTTAAGTTTCTGATTGACAAAGTCTATGTAGTCTTTGGAGATCAGGTCTTCCATCAATCTGTTGGAATTTCCATGGGAACCAATTGCGCCCCGTTACTAGCAGACCCATTTTTGTATTCATATGAAGCAGAATTTATTAAAAATCTTCTACATGAGAAGAAGAAAACGCTCGCCATGGCCTTCAACTCGACGTTTAGATATATCGTTGACATATTATCAATTAACAATAGTTATTTCCATTTATATATAGATTCAATATATCCCAGTGAAATTGAAATAGAAGACACCACAGAGTCTGACACATCTGTTTCATATTTGGATATTTTACCAGAAAAAGACTTTAATGTTAACCTAACAACAAAGCTTTATGATAAACGTGATGACTTCATCTTTTCTATCGTCAACTTCCCTAACTTATGTCGCAATATACCCATATCAGCTGCATATGGGGTTTATATCTCCCAGTTTATTCCATATGCAAGGGCATGCTCTTGTACGATCAATTTTTAAAAGGAGGCAAGCTATTAACAATTTGATGAAACAGTCTTGTTTGAAGTCATCATTTTGCAAGTTCTATGGTCGATACATGACCTTATCAGCAAATACAATCTATCATTAGGTCAAATGCTGACTGACGTTTTTCGTACTAATTGTTGGACCATTATTTACATACTGAAAATTCTTCGATTTTTCCCTTTTACCCGATCATGACAAGGGGCGCACAGCATGTGTGACCGGTCAACAGGGGATGCTTACTCCTCCATGGCACCTGATCCCACCTCTGATGTTTTTGGAGGTCCGTGTTTGCTCTGCTCCTGATTTGTATTGTTTAAATAGACTATGGGCTCGAATATTGTTCGTTATCTCCATATTTCAACAAAGAACCACAGCAAATAATGACAAAAGCACCAGTGTATCATGTAGGAACCACAACGTATGCAAAAACACAAGCTTGTCATGAAATAACCAAACATAATGATAAAGCACAACCATATCATGAAAGAATTACACTATATAATGCAAAAGCATCTTCGTGTCGTGAAATAACCACAGCTTGTTATGCAAAAGCATCATCTTATAAAATTAAAATAGTATCACTTTTAGTAATATTTTAATCAGTCCTCAAGCATTACTAGTATGAGATAATGGTGATTACGATGAAGATTGTATTGATTATATTATTATTATTAACAGGAATTGATGCACTCGAAATTAGTTGATCAAACTCAACTTGAACGATATCACCTCTGTGCTTTTCTTGAGTGGTTTGCTTTTAGTCTTGCACATATGGTGCATTACTAGTATTTACAAACAGTACAACGATTTAATAAATATTCCAAGAAATTATCTTCAGGTTTACTTATTTGATATTATTCAGACATCAGTGGAAGTACTCACTTTTTTCTCAATGTTTTACAGTCTAAATCTGCTACCGTTGAACAAAGAAGATGAATTCCGCTGTACTGGAGAAACTGGAGAAAATAGAAATGAAACTGGATGAACTTCTGGCACAAAGAGAAAGTAGATCCAAGCTAAAAAGGGTACATGGTACGCAAAATATATTACTATTTACTGTGTTATGTGATAGATACAAGGAGTACATGAATACAACAGGATTTACTGTGTACTTAGCAATATATAGATTACTAGTACTTAACAATATAAAGATTACTAGTACATGTAGTACTTAGCAATATATAGATTACTATAGTACTTAGCAAAATATAGGTTACTAGTACATGATTACTTTTTCATGTACTCAATACTTTTTGAAATGAAAATGGCGGTCTAGTGTGGACTCTTACAATTAGTTTTCATTTTAAACTACACTATGAATTGAAAAATATAGACATGTCTAGACTTGTAATCCAAAACTATAGTAAGCGCCATACACTATAGTTGAGACATGTTAACTGAAGCTGTAAAGTTATAAGAAATCGTTTATTGAGTATATATTTAATACAGGTCAAACATGGTTTTATACAGTTTTCTTCTCGACCAATGAAATTTCAAGATTTAATCAGAGGCAGGATAAATTAAGTATTTCAAATCTTGAATTACTTTGTAGAAATTCCTCACCAAAAAAGTTATGATTCATAGAATTAGTTTTTTATCAAAAGCAAAATTATCTTTAACATTTTTGGTGGAATTGTCATGCTTTGCATAACTTCTCAAAAAAGCATTTTCACATGTGAATCTTTTTATGGAACTAGTATTATTTTTTACCATAGCTCAATTTTCTCCACTACACAAAAACGCCCTCAGAAAAGTTCACAAGAGAATGATGGAGGATTTTCATCTTGAATCAGAAATAGACAATCTTATTCAACACGACGTCATTGGACGGGAAACATGGGAGGAAATAAAATGCCTAGGAAGTAGAGCCAACCAGCTGAGAATGTTCTTACTTAAACTAGGGTCCTACGATACAACGAAATTCGAAGCTTTTCTTGACGTTCTAAAAGAATCACACAATCATATAGCAGATGAGCTGATAAGTTATATGTCCGACACAAAAGAAAATGATGATATTTTGTATGAGGAAGACCGAATGGAGATATCCTGTATAAGATGTGAAATTTCCAGACGAATACAACCTGGAGAGGTCATCGATGAGTTGTTCTCTAGTGGAATCATTGGTGCTACAGCACTTAGAAAATACATCGAACCGAACTCGGAGTTCAAAGGCAGTAAGGTATGGAAGTACGTCTTTGATAATCTGAAAAGTTTACAGAGAAATGAGATTCATGTTTCCAAAATGATGCAAGAAGCTCTTGCAAAGAAATACTCTGATATCGCAGAAAGTCGCCAGCTTCGTTTAGAGTGTTCTTGGGACTGCACTTGTGAGGCAATGGATCCGTCTACACAAGGACGTCTCCACTCCATTAGTGATGCGAGCTCCGTCATCGCCCGAAAATGTGAATCCCGTTCGAATACCCCCGACATTTTTTTTGAGACACCATTTTCCACCAAGAAGTCCGAGGAAAAGTTAACTCAACCAGAAGAAAAGATAGTTTCACCTCTCCATACCCAGAATCCAGAAATTGTAGTCACTGCAGAAGAAAGTGTGTCGGGTAATGGGGGCAGGACGGAGTCAGGGTATTTCGATGTAGACACTGAAGATTCGTCTTTAATCACTGTACCCAAAACAATAACAAAAAAGAACTCGGAACAACTATTAAGACCTCCCCAAACTGAATACACCACAAGGAGCATCATAGATATTTCAAATACTTATCAACGAAAAGAAGACAGACAGGATGAAATTATTTACAAAAACCCATGTTTTGATGGTTTCATATCTTCAACTACTATCCATGGTGAAATACACCAAAAAATTGGCCCAGAAAAGGAGGATATGTGGAAAACGTTCTTCCCTAAGAGAAAGTCGGCTGGTGAATCGGGAGAGTCTATCGTTTGATTGTATATATTTAAAGAATTAATCATTGTATATAATTGTTGACCATTCTTACCTGTGGAGATATTGTCAAATACCAGACATAAAAATATTGTTTTATCGCACTAACATTTATTTAAATGTTTTTTTTTTCAAGTACGGAAGGGTTGTTTGTGTAAATAACTAAATATTTAATGCTTTCAACAAGTTAACTTGGAACTTGCTATGAGGAAATTCCACTTCAATTCTATTCTCTTCACTGGTCTCAGTGAAATCCACCCTTTTCAGCTTTTATCGAATCCCCAATTGTACAAAGCATACTGATACATGTATTTGCATGCGAAGAAAATTAAATATTGCCCTATCCGGAATGTTAATTGCAAGTATGTAATGACCACGATTGTATATCCAACTTACATCTTACGCCAAGTTGTAGTAAAAAACAATGCTTACTGAAAGATTTTTTTTCAGTATAATTTTGAGACAAAGCGTTTACCAATGAATTTAACGTTATACATTTATTGACTGGGTTCGAGGGCAACATACATTTTGTCGAACCCAAGAACCAAACTGTTTGCCAAAGGGCGTTAGGCCAAAGGCAAACAGTTTGGTTCGAGGGGTCTACAAAACGCATTTTGCCCGAGAACACAGTCAACAAGTGTTTTGTTATACCTTTTACTTTTTATTTTGACATAACATGATGTAAATTTTGTTTACCCCTACTGCGGTTTAAACTTGGTCAATTCAATAAAGTTCTGTCGAACTCTAACGAATGCAAATAAGATACAGCTGACCCCGTCCAAACTGTGACGTAAGCGGTCCAACATCTTATCGACATGTCCAATATCTCGCTCTGTAGTCAAACATCGATTTTTTTTAATGACCGCTCAGTAAAACATTGGAAATCTCTCAGTTGATTCGATACGCCAGAGCATGCTCTACGTATGAACAATTTCTAAAACGAGGTAAGTTATTGACAAACAAGTTGATGAAACAAGAATATCAGAAGTCTCGTTTATAGTCATCATTTCGTAAGTTCTATGGTCGATACAATTACATAATCAGCAAATACAATCTATCATTAATTCAAATGCTATAACTGACGTTTTTCATACTAATTGTTAGGTCATTATTTACACACAATGAATTGTCTGCGGATTTTCCCGATCATGACAAGGAGCACACGGCGGGGGTGACCGGTCGGCAGGGGATGCTTACTCCTCCATGGCACCTGATCCCACCTCTGATGTCCTAGAGGTCCGTGTTTGCTCTGCTTATTTTTTAACGTCCGTGTTTGCTCTGCTCATTTTGTAATGTTTAATGGACTTTTGAGCTTGAATAATGTTCGTTATCTCCACATATTTCATGTTAGACTTGTTTTAGTATAGAATTATATAGGATACAATTTTTAAAGGTATAACAAAATAAATTATAAAAATTTTCAAAAAAAAAAAAATTACAAGTGGTTTAAGTTATACATTTACTATTCTCTCATTTTATTTTAGGGACTTTCTCTCTCTCTCTCTCTCTAATATATATATATATATATATATATATATATATATATATATATATATATATATATATATATATATATATATATGTATGTATGTATGTATGTATGTATAAAATAATAGAACGCCGATTAAAACTCTACCGGTTTCAATTATATTTACATTACAAGTGTATTTTGCATATAAAATGTGTGGAAATTTATGGCATTCAAAACACCATGACACGGACAGGGGTAAGCGTTAGCGCGTTATGAAAATTTTGTTTGCACCCACCGTTGCAGTTATGAGACTATATCTTTCAAAAAATAATGATTCAATGCTTATATTTACATTTTTTAACTCCTTGCCTTGACTGCAAATCTTATTTATATTTCAAAACCCCTGTATTATCCTTTGGGTAAGTTACAATTAAAAGAAGGGCCATTGCAACAGCCTCTGTTCAATGTGAGCGTGAATTTTGATTTTCGCTTTATGAAGTTGCAATTCTACGGCGTTCGACGTTTGTGACGTCAAAATAAAACGCATACTTTAACCTTTTGACCCCCTGTCCGTGTTTTAGTATTTTGAATGCCGTAGCCTCCCTCACACTTTATAAGCAAAATACATGTGGAATGTAAATATAGCAATATGTCAAAACTCCTGATGATACAATTGAAACCGGTAGAGTTTTAATCGGCATTCTGTTATTTGTTATTTTTTATTATTTGAATACTTGTGTGGATTTCTTTCTCATACTTTGGATTATATATATATATATATATATATATATATATATATATATATATATATATATATATATATATATATATATATATATATATATATATATATATATATATTGCGGCACTTGACTAATGCCCTTGATGTCCATGTGAACTTTAGTTAGATACTAGAAATTTCCGTCGACAACCCCCCCAAAAAACCTTTCACTTTTCGACAGTTGACGCAGTTATACATTCCGGATCATGGTGCGTTAGTGCGCATAAATTATGTCAACCCTATATTAAAAAATACTGCAAAGAGGAAGCCTATTACAACAGCCGTGTCTGTGTACGCAGAGCACATAATTTTTTCCCCCGTTAAATATGGCTATCACGGTTCATCTCCAAGTAAGTGATCACTTCTACATATTTGAAACACGACGGAAGATTGTATTTTAAATAATCATTCGTGACTTTATGTTAAGCTTTTATGTCTTCATTTTTGTCGCTGTGTTGACATGTATTTTTGGTTGAAATTTGTCGTCAAAAACAGTATACTGTCAATGTTTAAAAACAGCAAATATCTTTCAAAAGGAAAAGTTAACATGATGATAATACATGTATTAACAATTTTTTTTATTAAACGGTATATTGTGCAAATCGTCTTTTAGGGCTATGAAACACTTTCAAATCAGCAAAATATATACTTATATCTAGATTTAATTTCTAAAAACTGTAGTGTATTGGTGAAAATTGCTGAAGCGTATAAATATTTTAATATTTTCGGGAAAATGATAAGAAAATAACAGTATTTTCCGTCGGTGGCCGTAAATCTAATGAAACGTCACTTTGTTAGGGATTCGGAGACAGCACCAGTGTACCATGTTCTGAGTATTTGTTATCGTATACGATATAGTGTGATACATATATTATATCTGAGATTCAGAAATGTTTCGAAGAGGGGTTTGGGAACATCAGCAGTAAGATCATAAGCTGAGTCGTTAGCATGATTAGAGGCTACTGCCACCATCATTACTTTTAAAGAGGAGGAGGACAAACGTATATTTTGCTTTTTGATCTGAGTAAATATATCCCGAAAATAATGGAGTTAAATAATCAAATCTCTTTTTTTTTTTCTTTTTGCTTATCAAAAATTTAACTTGGTTGACCCCCATCCCTTTTAACTTTGTGACTAAACTTATGCGATTGTCCGCAATGGACCAAAATGATAAAACCTCATTTTAAGTAATAAGGAGTCAAATATGAACTACAGATATTGACATTTTATCTGATACTATGCCTTGATTCACTGTTTACTTTTTTGAGGGAGAAGAGAATCAAATGTGTGGAGATTCACGTCTATGTGGCGGATCCAATGTTTACCACATGATTACACAACATCAAACATTTACAGAGTTTATACATATAACCAGTGTTACTTTCATATATTGTTCCTTTCGATGCATCCACAAATAGGGCCAGGACTCAGTACTACATGTATTTAGGAATAGGACAGCGAAACCTGAGTGGTGGGACACCTTTTCATTTATTATTTTACTCATCACAATATTCATTATGAATACTATGCAAGCATATATTTTTTATTTAAAGCAATATGAGCTGCATTTTTGAGAATTTTATTTTGCTGTTAAAATGTGCTATTATGATAAATATGTATGTACATGTAACTTAAACCTGTATGATCAAATAGACTATAATAAAGTATTACTATAGTTTATTGTTTCAAAAGAAAGATTTCTGTACAATGAAATGTATAGTATTATATAAGAAATCAATATTGTATTGGATGACAATAATGTAATTTTGCTTATATACAATCAAAGTTAAAAATTAGTTCTTCCATAGCAAATATGAACAATAGAAGTTTATAAACGGTCTTTTTCGGTCATTGAAATAGTAAATGATATTGCAACAAAAATTTCCAACATCAAAGTTGCAGCTCATATTGCTTTAAAAAAAAGATTGATGACTTTTATTGCCAAGAGAAATTATGTAAATTTTACTAGACTTGCACATACCTGGTATTTGATTTCTTCTGAATAGGAATGATTGATAATTGATATTTGCTTCACTGATGACAATCTATCTGCTCATATCCCTGCCCCCATCCCTTCAACTTCAAAACGTTTCTATTCTCTCTATAATCATATAGCAAGTATTTGACACTTTACACATGGTGCAATGCACATATGCCGTCGCTAAATTCCGAGTGATGTGACGTTTCATCAGCGGGTTCCAGTAAATGTTCTACCAAGCCCATTTCCTTGCTCCTCACTAATATATTTACAGCAGTGAAGGAGAAACTTAAGTGATACTGTACAATAGTATATATTCAAGAAGTGGTATAAATCAGATGTGGATACTCAAAAACTCCAAGGAACGTTTAGAAAATTTGAAAAATCACAAAATTTTACCAAAATCAATAAAATTAAAAACGTACGACTTTTCAATATTTTATACAACAATTCCCCACGATAAATTAAAGTCAAGGCTTTTTTGACATCAAAGACAGCTGCTTTAATGGAACTCGTAAATTTACTTACCTTGTCATTGGTTATTTATTTATTTTTATTTTTATTATTATTATATTATATTATTATTATATTTTTATATTTATTTATTATTACCTTGTTCCAAAACATTCTGACTGTACACACAAGTACTCTGAAGTTGATGTTAAGTTTCTGATTGACAATATTTAGATAGTTTTTGGAGATCAGGTCTCTCAACAATCTGTTGGAATTCCCATGGGTACCAATCGTGCCCTCCTTATTAGCAGACCTATTCT